CTTTCATGTTTAAATGTATCCAGTTTCAGAGCTCTAATGTGCAGCCATTACCTTAAACATCAACAAAAGCACACTCAATGTTTCAATGATTCATTTGAAATAAAGTGTTTATTTTACTGCTCAGTGAGCTGAGCTGCAATGATCTATTTTTATTCCTAACTGCCCATTATTCTGTTGTTTGATATTCTTTTTAATCTATTCTAACAACATCCTCTGATTCAGTCACTGATTGGAGGAGGCAGAACTCAGAGATCATTTTGTGCAGAGGAGTCAAATGATGCATATAATGAACCTTTTCATGGTGATTCCCATCATATCCAATCAGGGTTTTTGTTTGTTTTATTAAGCCTCTTGGCCACAGAAAAATAACATAATGGTGGAGAAAGACAACAGTGGTAATAATTGTGTCTTTACCCAACAACATAAAGGGACATGAGGTGACTGTTGTGTGAACTGCCTTGTAAGTTCACACTCCCTTTATTGCTAACAGCCAAACTATATTACTGTTATCACCATATCAACTTTTTATGGTGATGATGTACTTACAGCTGCTTCTACAGCCCCAAAAGAAAAAAATATTACATATTCCTTCAATTATCTTATGCAAATTAAAGCCATTTGATGTGACTGAACACAAAAAGCTGCTAAATGTATAGAGAGGAGGTTATGGATCAGCTGTAAACTGTAAACAATGTATGCATCAACTATATGGCACATCAAAAGCTCTGAATGAGAATGGCAAAACAAATGAAAAATCTTGAAATAGTAATGCATATTTTATATTGACAAGCAAAACAACAGCACCCGGTCAGTACAAATGCCTTTAATTATTTCTGGTTTGACACAGAATTCAGAAGGAAACATTAATAAACAAAACAGAAGATCGAAACCACAGAGAAAAAAGCTGTTGCATGAATGTGAACATGCTTGGTATCTTAAAAAATGTAAAAACATGCCAGCTTCCATTAACCAAATCTTCCCAGCAAAGGTTTGGGAGAGAGATTCGACTCCATTTTTAAAATGAAGGCGTGCAGAGGAGTAAAAGAAGGAAGCCTAAAGATGGCTGAAGGTAATGACTTTTCTAAAAGAGCCCAATTAAAAAAAGAATGGCTCAAAAACAGATGTTCCACTGGATAGTAAGCGAAGTATTGAGTCATGCAACAGCTTTTTTTTAAAAAGAGAATTTTAAAGTGAATTGGTACAGGAGTAACTGTCAGTGCTACAACAGATTTAGCATCTGCTGACAAATGTCTTCACTGCAGCAGGAACAAGCGAAGAACAAAACTCCAAAGTGAAGTTCTTATCAAACTTTGCTGGTTATTTACAGTTATGAGACTGGTCCTTGCTCGCTACGGAGGCTGAAGTATGCCAGAGTAATTTAACTGATGCAAAACTCAAAGTAATCATTTTCTCAATTTACAACTCAGTTCTACAAATCAAACCAGTTTGATCCCACAAACTAAGTCTTCTATTTTCTTCTTTAACAACAAACAGTTTCTCCGGCCCCGGCTGAGCAGGTGAGTGAGCTGGTGGTGGACGCGGAGGTTGCTCAGCGGCCCTCCTCCGGGGAGCAGGAATGGGTGCAGGCACCAGCATGCACCAGCTGCTTCCACCTGAGGAGTGGGCACGGGTGTGGAGGCAGACGGCATCCTGGCTGGCCTCACCCTGGGGACCGGAGCAGATCGGACACCTGCCACTCCCATACAGCTGTGGTGCGCCGGCAGCGGTGTGGGCCAGGAACTGAGCCGAGCCGCCAGAATCGTAATCACGTGCATCCGGCACTCGGTCTGGTCCTGCAGTTCATCCACTTCTCAGCGCGACACCGCCGCCTGCTCCCTCCGTGTGGCCACCAGCTCAGCCACCATTTGGGCCAGCCCCTCCCCTGCCCCGCCACAGAGTGTTTGTGACATATTTTGTGAGCCTATACTGCATTCAAAGACCTATAAGAGTGTAAGACAAAAGCAACTAATTGCTAAATGTTGTCAGAAATCTGGCACATAAAACCTCTGTGGGATTTAGTCTGAACACTGCTGGAACAACATTTAACACTGAATGAAAAAAATGGGAACAGGAAATGCTAAACGACTGATTGTGAAATTAAAATGGGAGAGACAATGTTCTAAAAAATTTAAAGCCTCTTAAACATTTGATGTCAAATTCACATCGAGTTTGTTCATTTAAATATATAATCAAATATATAACTATCAGTTAATACGCCAATTAAACATTTTGGCAGCAAATGAAGACTCCATGTTCAGTTCATTAACATGTTGCCTTCCACGAAATGTTTTGGCCACTGCTGAAATGAAACAGCATGCTGACGGTACCATACCAACCTGAGATGAGCTCTGTTACTAAATAACTTTAAAACCGATAAGCATCTGTTTTTACTGACAGTAACAGTGCTTTAAAGAACAACAACAACAAACACTTGTGTTAAAACAGGTCCACACCAATCCATCGTACATTTATGAAATATGATTCTTTCCCTATATTAAACAATCATTTCCCCACACTACAGACCATAAGCAGCAAAATATACATATTAGATCATCTTGCTAATATACAATAGGGTTAAAGCAGCCAATAGGAACTCTTTGGTTAAAAAAAACCCCAACATATATAAGTATAAATATAATCACAGGTCAATATGTTCAGTATAAAGATATTTGACTACACACATAAACACGTGTCTGTATATACACAGGTTACATGGATACAATGGACTCTTATTCCCTTTTAGTGATACTGAAGATACTGAACAACATCGGGAAGCTCTTCTGGCGGCTGTTTGTACTCCCTCCAATAACTTTCCCAGGTGTGTGTCCTAAGGCGAAGTGCTCAAAAACAAAGGAAAAGCTGTGCAGGAAAGTCCTCAAATATTCACAAACTGATTGATCTTAAACCCCAGGAAGTGCTGAGCTCCACGCTCTCTGTTCTTCCCAGCATCTAAGGTTCCCTCTGACCCCGTGCTCACTGTTCAGATTTCTGTCTGCTGCTCCCTTGAGACAGAAACTTTTTCTGCGTGCAGGACAGAAGTTGGGAGGTCACTCCAACATGGCGTCCAGTTGGTCGGCCAGGTCATCAAACATGTTGCCAATGTCATCCAGAATATTGCCTGCTGCCTTCACTGTGGTGGCCCCACTAGGAAACAGATGGGACAATGTGAAGTAAAAAAAGAGTTAAGCTGGTGATTCAGAACAGCTATGAATGTGAGATAAAGTGTTTGTATAGAGAAAAAAGCACTATATGAATGCATGGTATCGTGTAGCTTGTAGTCAAGCACTCTGGCATGCACAATCACAGAAGCTCCACTACAACCATGTCTGTCTAAAACAGACCAATCACTTTAAGGACATGGGGTCCCCCCTTCTATCTTAGCCCCTGTCCCCACATCAGGCATGTTTGCTTTCTTTCCTGTGAAGATCACTAAAGCTCCTCGGCGGTCCTGGAACAGGATTATCCATTTAACTATTTGCTGATCCTCAAACATTAGCTTTTCTTGTTTCAGGAATTTTATGACACTGTAATATTTTCATCACAAGATTTAGCGTCAGACTGGCGTTGTGTCCAGGGTGTATAACACCTTTCACCCCATGGTTGCTGGGATACGCTTCCCGTGACCCTGATAAGGATAAGTAGAAGAGAATGGATGAATAAATAGGTGGAAAATATATTCTTCTACGAGCGGTTGTGACATTATAACACGTGGGTCTGCAACAAAGCTAGCACGTCAAGGAAGCTTATGTTTGTATTTGTGAAGCTATAGCTAGCTCTCAAGGCTGAGTGATTATGGCTAAAACTAGACCCTCGGGAATGCTGCTGTATTCATTTCCTCAGCCCTCAGTACTGAGCTGGGTGAGGCACTGAAACAGCTTGGCCATGGATGGCGGAGCTAGCTTGTCTGCTCCACAATCATTCATGGCCACTGCCTTGTGCAGTGACTAGGCCTTGCAGACAGATTTGTCATCAGCATTTGAGTTAATTTTCTCAGCCTGACATTTGAAAGGCTAAATTTAAATGAGTCTGGTCTCCCTTTCAGGCTGACTGAGACCACTCATGGTGTAAGACTTCTTTCCACATGCTGACCTTATGATGGCAAATAGTGTGTACTTCAGAGATAAACCCAACTATAGTAAAGTGGTTCTGCGCCTTAACCCAGCCTCTGTGCCTAAGGTTAGGGAGTCTACCTATTGTTACCTCGCTCTCAGGCTATAAGCCCCTGCCATCTGCTGATGAGAACGAGAGGCGGCTTAATTCGCTGTGGCCTGTCTGAGAATTATGCATTTATGTAGACAGAAATAAGGGAATTGTAAAAAGCAATCAGCTCTCTGTGTTCCAGGCTCCTTGGCACATAGGGAAGCCTATACCAGCTGTCACAGTGGGTGGTAGACGATATTGTGATGGCATATGAATGCCAGGGATAGCAACCTCCTGCGCACCTGCGTGCACATTCTACCTCATGGGCCCTTTTTAAGGGTGTTTCTTGGCAGGAGCATCTGTGCAGCTGCTAGTTGGAAATTTCCACATACATCTGTTAGGTTTTACTGCCTTAACATTAACCTTCACTGGCACACTCAGTGCTTACTGTGGGCTCTTAAATTTGTGTGAGGTGGTGCTCTTCCTGGGTGGAGAAGTTATAGTGTTTGGACCATGCAATCTCAGAGGGGTCTACATCTACCATAGTGAGCTACCAAGAGAGGTTTGACAGACAACCTTGGCTACTATCATAACTTTGCAAACTGAGTTTGGCTCATTGCAGCGCCCATTTGCATGGACATCAGGAAGAACTACTTCGTCTGGTATGGGTCCAAGGGCTGTTATAAAGGGGGTCATGCCAAAGGGCGCTTTCCAAAGTGGAATACCAAGCGAGGTTTGAAAGAGAACCAGGTTTACTCTAGTAACCTCTCTTTTCATCAGTGTGGAGCAACAAATAACTAGAGAACTAAACAAAGGACAAAGTTAATGCTCGAGGACCTTCACTGAATTCTGCAGATGTTTTTGGCATTTTCCCTGTTGCTAAATTTAGAGTTAGCATGAGCAGTGCAGTGCCAACTACACTGAGACTACATGTTTCTATCAGTGATAACATTTGGCCTTCTCTCAATTTTAGAAACTTGAAAAACGCTTACATGTCCCCAAAAAGAGGGCAGGTGCTAAAACAAAGAAGACAAAAGAAAAACTGAAAAAGAAATGTTTTGTTTTTTTTCTTTGGAGATTCATGGTTTCAAGTTTTCCACAGGTTATATAAACTGACAACAGCAAACTAGTGAGGACACCGTCTACAAGCTCTAAAGCTTGTAGACGGTGTCCTCACTAGTTAACAGCATTTACAACAAAATTTAGCTCGTTGTGCTCTCGACAGCACTTGACTAATCTGCTGATTTTTCCCAGTACTTTCATCCCACTGTCAATGAGTAAGTCACAAATCACTGCAGGAATGGAAGCTCTTGAACATTTGTCACCTTACTGGGACTTTAGTTACAGCCCAGCAGCTGATCTGTCAGATCTGCTGCATGTTCACAAGGAACAGTTCAAACAACCAGTGCAAACCAACGGTTACCGCGGTACCACAGCTCAGCAATCAGTATGAAGAGCACAATATTATCATTCCAGGTAAAGCACACCACCCCAACTACACCAATACAATACTTCTTACCCGTCCACATTGCTCCCCTGTGCCAGTTTGGTCTCCACTACTTTGAGAGCAGCTTCCAGTGATGTACTAGTTTGCTCTAGTTTCTTCTGGGCCAGCATCTCCACACTGGCCACACCAGGCGGAGTTACCCATCCTTTTCCTGGCTGACTGGGTAGTGCCGAGGGTGGGCAGTAAGAGTTCAGCAATGGTGACGGTGGAGCAGCAAAGGCAACACTTTGAGCCATGCTGAGATTCGGACCTGAGGAACAATAAATATTATGTAACCATCAAAAAGAAGCTCGCTGTTAGGAAACAAGTTTAACCTCTTAACATCCACCAGATCACTGGTCGCCCATCTAGAATTGGTGTAGGGACTGGATTATGTTTACACCCGGCCATTTTTATAGCAACTTTAAAAGCTTTAACAATAAAACCGTCATGCCAAAATTAATCTGAAAGAGTGGATTTGAAAATGTGCTTACTCAACATGTGGCTAAAACAAAAGCCAAGCTTAAAAGAAGCCAACTGATGGCCCTGTTGGTATTATATCTTCTTTTCATTGTTACCTGCTGTTGCTGCATAGGTGTTCTGAGGGAGTCTTGACACAGCGACGGCTTTCTGTGGACTCCCAGGTTCGGACGTGAAGGTCTGTCTGTGTTTCACAGGTTTTGGACTGGACATACAAGTCTGAATGTACATGTTGCTTTTCAGCTTTGGGGAGACTGTGTGAATCTGTACGCTCGTGAGGTTAGGGATGGCTGTTTGTCCACTTGGTTGCAATGGCGAAACAGTTTTTTGAGGAGTTGTTGGTTCGCTGTTGGGGGTTTGTTTGAGGGGACTGGGAGGTTTTGAGGACACTGGAGGCTTTGGGCCTTTTCCCATTGATCCTATCCTCTGGAAAACATTGTGTGGCCTCTGAGCTTCATCGTCACTCAGTGTACTGATGTCATTTTGCATGTGGAGGCTGTTGGGTTCTGGGTGCTTGTTGTTTCTGTGTGGGGTGCTAACCTCTTCAGGAGTGGACGCGTCTTTGTCTTTGGGTTTGTGCCGTCTTTTCACCGTGTCAGACTCCTTTAGATTGAACTCTGGGAGTTCAAGGCTGTTTGGGGTCTGCACCGCCTCTGAAGGAGTTTTAACTTCAGCACCCGGCTGACTAACGACTGCTATCCTGGGTCGCTGTTTGATAGTCAGGTTGCCTTCTTCAGCAAACGGTAGATGGTCCTTGGACCTGTGCTTGGGAGATGCAGCAGCACTCTTTGATATGTGTTCAGTTTTCTTTGCTTTCACTTCCTCACCAGAGTCTCTCTCTGTACTTCTACCTCTTTGTCTATTGAAGTCTCCTTCTGTCCTTTCACTTCCTACCCTCCTAAGGCCCCCGAGACCCAAGGCTGGGACAGGTTTGGAGTGCTGAGTGATGGTGTGAGAAGGAAATCCACGTGGGATCGGTGAGGAAACAGGGCTGAATGCAGGTGAAACAGGGAGGTGGGCTGGTGGTATATCTATTCTTCTAGATGGGCTACTGCTGCTGCTGCCTTCAAGCCTGGCTGCGATACTCCTCACACTGCCTGCACTCTCCATCTCTACCCCTCCCTTCACCTCTGGCTCCACTCCTTGTCGGTTTCCTGGTTGACACACACGGGTGTCGTTTACCGAGCTCATCCTCTTAGGTGGGGGTGGAGGCGGACCTTTGCGTCGAGAGCGCACAGCAAAGGAGTGGCTACGGTTGATGTGACGTTGGGCCCCTAGAGGACTTGCATGGCCACGTCCCGGCCTGCGTGACATGGTGGCATAAGATGGCATGACCGCAGAGGAAGCAGAGGTACAAGGGGAAGTGGGATTGTCGTCTTCATCTGGCTCACCATCTGACAGAGCATAGCGATTCAGGCTTTGCGAGCGCTTCTTTTGTGGGCCTTTTTGAGTTTCATTGGCTGGGCCCTGTACAAGTAAGGGCCCCAGCAGCGGGACAGCCCCAGGCAGTGGCTTGGAAAGTAGTCGTGGAGCCCCACTGACTACTTCTGCTTGAGCTTGGATATAACTGAAAGCCTTCTGTGTCGGGGAAGCTTGCGGGGATGGTGAAGATGGGGAGGAGGGTGGGTGTTGTTGAGGCTGATAAGGGCGGTTAGGAGACTGGAAGTGTTTGGCTTTAGGTGGGACAGCTGGGTAGGCAAAGCGGGGCATCTTGCTGGGGGTCAGTGGAGGTGTGAGAGGGGAGAAGGGGATTTTATTTGGGATAGCAGATTGACTCTGATGCACCCATGACTCACTGGGTCTCTGTCTACTTCTGCCTCCAGGACTGCTTCTTCCACTCTTCACCTCCTCCCCTGCACCACTACTTAAACTCTCCTCAGACCGGCTCGATGTCCTGGCTGAAGACAGTACGGCCTGCTGATCCTGACAATGAGCCAAATTTACATTTCCAGAGTTCCCAGATTTCCCTGAGCCCCGCGAACGCATGCCAATGCTCTCTTGACTGACTGACATGGCAGTCCCACCTGCAGCAGAGGACACACCTTTAATGCTGAACATCTCAGCGGGACCTCCACCCGCCTTTCCCATCATTGCACTCTGTAGCTCCACGCTTAGCTCGCTGTCCTGGAAGGAAAGGAGGGCTCTGGGAGTACGAGGGGAGGAGCAACAGTCATTGGATGGAGTGTCAGCGTGTGCCTGAGCATTGTGTGTCGGCGCGTGTTCGATAACCACCAGCTCGAGAGCAGCAGGCAGCTTTCGTCTGAGAGTTTCGCCTCCGGTTCTGTCGGCATGGTTACGAGAGCGATGCAGGTCACACAGTCTCTTCACTGCTAACATTAGTTTCTTCTGATGACCTGAAACACACAGATTTATTTATTTATTACAGAGCTCAAAAAGATTTAATAAAAGTGATCAAACATTCCCCTTCTGTGCTTTGACAATGTCACAAGCAGTCACAGCACACAAAAGATTCAGTTTCAAAGCCTATGAGGCAGAGTACACCCCGGACCAGTCACCGATCAGAGAAGTTATTATAGAAAATTATAGAAATTCCTCACCCAGTTTAGTAATGCCTATCTCCTGCAGGTCCTCCCAGGTGATGTCCTTGACAATGGCAATGGAGTCATAGCCATTGTCACACAATCTTTTCTGGTACTGAGGCAATCCAATCACACTCAGCCATTCCCCCAGGTCCGACTGAACACGACAACACAGACAAACTTTACAATGGCTGCAAGAGAGCCAGCTGTTTACATGATGTATATGGCAAATAAGAGGGAGGACTGATTTCTCACAGGAATGTAATCTGGGAGCCACTCAGGAATGCTCAGCTTGCTAATCTCCATCGATATCTTCTTCCTGTGGCCTGGTTTGGTCACTCCGATAGCTGTAAGATCCTGAAGAATATCCACACAAATAATGAGTGAATCATTAACATCACCAACAAATGAAAGAATCAACAACAAATCAATTAAATAACTGTACTTTAGCCAAGAGAAATCATTTTTTCATCTGTAAAAAAAGAGTGTAAAAAAAAAGAGTGCTTTAGTTACAGTCATGTCAAGTTTTCAATGGACTTCTTAAACATTTTTTTTTAAACATACATATCAGGCTCAGAGGGTTTCAGGCTGAAATGGAACCAATTCATTTTCATATCACTTCACAAAACAGTCATCCCAAGGTTTTATGTAAAAAAAGAAGAAGCAAAAAACAAACACATCTTTAAAGTACAAAGAACAAAGAAAAGTCTAACGGCATAGAGCTAAAAATGCTGAAAATTGTAACATATATACACACCTCGGGGGTCATTCTGCTGATGGTGGGTACATCGTATCCTGCACTGATGAAGCTGGACGTGTACTGCTCGAGCTGGAACCCACACAGCCACTGGTAGATAGCTTCTGAATCCTAACGACAGAGAGGAGATTCATTTCCAAAACCTCTGTGTGTAGGAAACATTTACGCAAACTTGCACAACTCTAAAACTCAGCTCACCTTGCCTTCCAAAAGCTGTTCAGGCCTCACAAAGCCTTTCTGAGGAGTGCCGTTAACCTGTTGGCGGGAACCACCTAAAAAACACACACAATTAATCCTGTGGGATGTGTTTCGCGATGAGTGCGTGGAGGAAGACAGACACTGGAGGAAAAACAAGACGAACCCAAAAAAAGACAGCCATGTTTTCAAAGCAACAAGATTCTGCTTTGTGACAGCAAGAGATCAATCCGGTCTGCATTAGTTGAGTCATGTTAAATCGTTCTTTTCCAAGCAGCTGTGTGACTGAGTGGGGCTGTCACGTCTCTCCGGGTGAGTGAAGCTGTGCCATCTACCAGATCTCACACACCCCTCACTCATCTTATTTACAGTCATTATATACTCAGATCTCAGAGGAACGATACTTTGTTGCCAACTGCTCCAATTTCACTTCTCTTCTTGCCCAAGGCTGAGTCTTTTTTTTCCGCTCTTCTAGTCCTTTCTCACAACAACATTTGATCTTTTCAGTTCTCAATAACTTTTATTTAAGACCTCTTACAGACACGCAGATACACCTTGTAACAGGGCAATAAGTAATATAAGACACTGCACTGTCAAGATGTTCCTGGGAGATGAGTTAACTTATTCAGCATGATAATCACCCATCAAAACAACGCAGTCGTGCTTCTTGCGACATGCTCTTTGTACAAGATGGAAAGAGATGAGGAATTTGTGACATTGTACTGTGGAAAAGTACAACTACAATTCAAATACAGTCAGTTACATTTCTAGGTTAGTGATCGCCCATCAAATCAAGAATGGTTTTAAAGGTGGAGGCAACTGACTTTTTTTTCTCTCCTCAGCTTTTCTGACTGTTTTTCACTAGTTTTGCATTTGGATAGGAATAGAGGTTGTGCAGGTAGTCCAACTCAATACATGCTGAGTTGGACCAGAAGGTTTGCTGTGTCTCCCGGCATAGTCTCAAGAGCATGGAGGAGATTACAGCAGACGGGCAGTCACTGTAGGAGAGCTAGACAGGGCTGTAGGTCCTTAACCCATAAGCAAGATTGGCATCTCCAGGCTTCCTGAAGGGCTTTCACGTGTTTTCCAGTCTTTGCACCCAACTATTTCCAACTGTTTGATTTTTTAAGCCACTTAAGTCTGACCACGACTCACTCAAGTACAGCATAAGAGGAACTCAATGATAAAATGTAAAACAGTTTTTCATCTTATTATTTATTTATCTTTTATCTGCCCACAACAGACAACAAGCAAAGAAAGAAAGGTTGAAATATTGACAATAACTACCAGTCTGTGGCAAAAACACAATTTCTTTCCCATTTCTTTCGCTGAATCTATCAAAAATGTCGAAGATAACAAAGTTTGGCAGGCATAAAATTATATTTCTGCACCAATAAGGTGATTCCCAATGAAATATTAACCAAAAATTTGGAATGCAGTGGGTCCTTTAAAACAGGATCGAACCCTTTCTCCTCTGACAAAACGTCAAACATCATGTCAAATTATAACAACGGTCTTACCCCTGAGAAAAAACGAGAGCCGGAGAGCTCCTGATGTCTCACACTTCATCCTTCCCTCCACCTATCCTTCCTGCAGGGCAGACATCAGCTCCTCTTCCCTGTCTTCTTTCCTCTTTCTCAGGCATTTAACAGATGTCTTTTGCTCCTGATGCTCCCTGTCTCCTCCCTCTTCTCCTGCACTTTAACCCCCCCTTCCGATTCACCCTGAGGTCAACGGGAATTCTCTGCTTCTTTGAGTGTTAACATTTGAAAAGCCTTATCTCAGCAGAATGAACTTAAGTTCTGAAAATACTGTAAACATGCAATCCTGCACCTGCCATTATACCTGACAGCAGAGCACATTTCTCCAGGCCTTTAGTGTTTCTTGTGAAGTAGTGATCTGGGCTTTTATGGCTTGCGTAGATGAAAGAAGATGCTGGTTTTATTGGCTTCAGTGGTGAAGTAAAGTATGGTAAGCATTTACTGTCCCCCTCCATCTCATTTCCTTTCAGACCATCAACAAAAACAGCAGAACAATGCTCTATGATCCCTGCACACAGCAGCCCCGTGGTTTCTAAAGATACAACCCTTTTATGGTTGAAAGATTCATAGGCCCGTATTAAGTAGATAAAGAAACAAAAAAACATTCTTCTGTAAAAGAAGAATCGGGTGGCTGTAGCTCAGGAGGTAGAGCCACCCCCGATCTACTGATCGGAAGGTTGGTGGTTCGATCCCTGGCTCCTCCAGTCTGCACGTCCAGTATCCTTGGGCAAGATACTAACCCCAGGTTGCTCTCTGATGCATCCATCGTGTGAATGTACCTAGAAAGTGCTCGTGAGAATGGGTGTGATTGGGTGAATGTGGCATGTTGTATACAGCGCTTTGAGTACTCCGGGAGAGTAGAAAAGCGCTATATAAGAATCAGTCCATTTACCATCTGCCATTTAAAAGGTCAGGTAAAACAACTGGACTGAAAAAGCAGCCAACCCGCAAAAGAAAAACTCTGAAAGACCTTCAGAAAGTCTGGGACCTTGGAAGAATCACAGCTAACAGAATTATTATTATTGTCAAACAGAGTCACCGAATGAAACATCTGTCATCTTCTTACTAACCTGTGGATCCATCAACCTGTGTGCTGTGGTCCACTCCTATAACGCGGTCCCTTGATTCGCCAGCAGAGGGAGCCAGCTGCACACACAAAACAAAGGCGTACTCAACGATAGAGAAAAGTACTTAAGTGCATTACTGACATCCTCCACACTTTGTTCATTTCTGTTACTATTAGTGAAACTGTCTCCTGTCGACATATGAAGCAGAGCATCTCCTTGTTTTTTAGTGTCCACCTTGGTTGTCTCTGTGCATATCTGACCTTGCCAGCGTCATTGTTGTGGCAGCAATGAATCCCATTCTGTTTGTGGCCGCTCTCTGAGCTCTGACCACTCCCTGCACTGCGGCTGCTACCAACACTGCCAGCGCTGCCGACACTGTTTCTGTCACCTGAGAAGAGCAAAGAAAGCAAAACAGAGAGAGATGACAGACTGACAGGAGACCTGTGGAGTGTCTGAGTTAGGAGACAATTGTAGCCGGCAGTTTATAGGTTATATATTTAAATGTGCTGCCTACTGTACTAAAAATAAGTAAATAAATAAATACATAAAAACTATTAAGTCCTATTTATTACTGAAGGATTTATTGCCTCACCATACAGATTGAATCGATGCAAGGTGTTTGTTAGTAAGTTGTTTTATGCTAAGCAAGGCTAATCACGCTCTGCCACTAGCTCCATATTTAACAAATAGATGCTAATATCAAGCTTCTTATGTATGTAAAGAATTTTCAACGTTTATGAAATTATTAAAACATTATGTTTTAGTGGAATCGACATTCTCTCTGTTCAGGAAATAACTGAATATATATTACATAGTAGAAGAAAAACATTAATATGTTTGCGGAGATTTTCAGAGAATAAGAGGAAGCTCCAACATGCTTAAAAGAAGAAGAACTTAAAAAGAGACCTTCATGCTGCTCCCTCATAGTAATGTCCTGCTGCAAGAGAACTGGTTATGGTTGCTGGATTGTTAGATGTGTATAAAGCAGAGGGGTGGGATTTGAAGGGTTAGCATGGTAAGGTCAAAACTCTGGTATATAAAAGGATAAAACAGGAATAAGCTTCTTTAAAAAGACCCAGTCTATCAAAAATGTGGTGACTTGACTGGTCTACAGGTTCACCGGCGATTGGGGTTTCGGTGGGTGAGGTATTAGGGGTTTAGGACCACACACTCTTACCAGTGGGAGAGCTCCTGAGGACCCAGATTTCCTGAGTGGGGCTAGCAGAACTAGCTGGGGTTGAGAGCTGACTGCCCAATGGAGCACCTAATAAACACACACACTTTAGACAAACGTTCACGGTACACTCTGCCTACTGCAGAACCGGAGCTGGGACTGGATCTATCAAGCTGACACAGCATCAGGGAAAGTTTTTTCATCAAGAAAAAACTGGGATTGGGGTGCTGTTTGGGAGCATATGGACAGAAACATTCCTGTCCAACAATCCTTGCCTTGCCTGGGATAACGTGAATCCACCGCAGGTGGTAAAACAGGGAAAAGGTTGGTGAGTGCATCTGTGTGTGTACCTGCAGGGTCATAGCCAAGGATGTATAAGTCATCAGTCTGAGGGGCAGGGCCGTGACTCGAAGGAGGAGCTCCGGACACAAAGTGTTGTCGTTTGCAAGGCATTGAAGCTTGGCGGAAGAGCGTGCCTCCTACGGCCAGGGAGACAGGTTTGGTTTGAGGTGGACATGCATGAGTGAGGGAAAGCAGATAATGCACATGCGTGTTCGGTGGCAGTTTGAAATGCATGCACAGGCATCGAAAGCTCTTTAACCATGCACTGAAGAGCTATGAATATCATCAACTTTAGCATTTGTCTCCGCCATGTATTCTTTTTCATTGAGTACATGGAACAACAACTAAAAACAGACAGACTGACTGTAAATCCCCTCTACAGTTACATAACAGGCTGCTGAATGGAAGTTTAAGATCACCAAAGACACTGAGAAGGCTTACTGTTCCTTAGTGTGGTATTGGTCTCTGTTTGCTGACATCACTGACATTATCACAGAGCTCAGACACACTATTGCACATGTGCACACAACCTGCTGAGTTTGCCTCATAAGCAAAGAGCCCATCACCAACTTTGAGGCGAACTCTCTTCTTTCGTCTCTTTCCTCAAGCATGAGCAGTCTCACACACACACGCCCACACACACAGAATACCCCGATGTAGGCTGTGAAGGCTTTAACACTGAGCTGACACTTTGCAATCTGGCCATAGTAATCCTATTAATGTGTTTCTCTGTGAGACTGTCGTGTGTGTGTGTGTGTGTGGACTGGCTTGTTGAAGACACAGAAGTGTGCACTCATGTCTGGAGCTGTTTTTGGAGCCCTGACTGTGCTGGTCTCTCTGTGCTAGAAAGTCAGGGGTTTTACAGCTGCAAACAAGTGAGGAGCTCATATTCACAGGGATTAAATTTGTTGATTTACAAGCATGCTGAATTCTCCAGCGGCCATGTCTGCAAACATGATAGATCCTGCTCGTGTACAAGTGTGGCGATATTTTGGTAGCCCAGATATATAAGAGTCGTCATGGGTCAAATTGGGTGTTATCAACACCAAAATACAGTTGTCTGAATTCATGTCCACTATAAATGTGTTTGCCCAGGCTGGTGGTACTTCAGGACTACAAAAATAAACAAGTAAACAAATAAATAAATATCGTTAGCTTCATAGCATAAGTGCCTAAGTCATTTTTTGGTCAAATTGAGATTTTTGCCTAACTTTACTCCCCTACCACTGCTGCATCATCCTGTCCGTCTGCCTATGTCATCACAAAAAAATGACTTAGGCACTTATGCTATGAAGCTAACGATATGAAACTTGACAGATATTTTCATGTCTCAGATAATTATATGAATATGAGATCTGGCACGTCCTCTTATTTCTCAGCAGTATTTCTGATGTTTTAGTTCACTGGGGTTTTTTTGTTTTGTTTTTTTAACATTTTGTAAAACTATTGGGAATTTCTATTGAAATGACACAAATTAAATGAAAAAGTTAGGCTTGGTATTTCATGTGAAATTGTACAGTGCACATGTAGACTGTTCAAAAAAATTAAAGGAATACTCTGAAAACACATCAGCTCTCAACAGTGAAAGAAAATCATGCTGTATGTCTACACTGATATGAAATGGGTAATGTGTTAGCAATTAAGGGATGGCACATAGTTTGATGGAAATGTTCTTGTTAAAAGGGAGGTTTTCCTTTCCACTGTCGCCAAACAGGCGCTGTATAAATAAAACTAAATTGAACTGAATTGAAATTGAATTCAAATAAAAATGATTATCCAGATGTTGTTAAGCATCCATTTAAGCACATAGGATAGCTTAGTGTTCTAGAGGATCTCCTCCCAGATGTGGACCAAAGCATCACTGAGCTCCTGGGCCATCTGAGGTGCAACCTGGCGGCGTTGGATGGATTGAAAATAATATCCCAGCAAAGAGACACAGCAAACCTTGTGGTAATGGCATGTATTGAGTTGGACTGGACTGGATACAGGTTGCCATGTACACAAAATTCAAAGTATGCAACTGTAAACTGAAGATGCAAACCAAGGTGCCGTCCTCTCTGTTCACCGTCTTGCTAACTGGATAACTCTACAACTACTGAGAGGAGCACAACTATAATACTTGCATAAATATTCTGGAGTGTATTAATGTTAATTATTATTAAGGTAACTGATGTTTATGCAGGTGTGAATAAGCTATTTATTTACCTGCTCTTTTGCTGAGGACCTCCACCACTGAAGGGGGGAAAAAGCCCACCCGGTCTGTCCCCCGCTGGGTGTCATGGATGTGACCTTTCCACCGGCCGTCTGAGTGCTGCTCCAGGACCTGTCAGCAAGAAGCCAAATCAAAATCAAATCAAATCACTTTTATTGTCACATCACATGTGCAGGTACATTGGTAACAACAGAGTTGTGCAAAATACAATAATGTAAACAAGCAAAATACAAGAATGGCTACATCTGAAACTAATAAATATATGTACAATATATAATAGTATGTGCATTTCTGGATGTGTATAGTAAATATTTTTCTACATGTGTGTGTGTGTGTACACATATTTTACAAATTAAATAGAGTAAACAATAAATAGAATATATAAAATAAATAAAATTAAATATTTATTTTATATATTCTATTTATTGTTTACTCTATTTAATTTGTAAAATGAGAACACTTCATTACAAATGGCATTAGTCTTGGTATAATTCACAGTCCCAGCAATTGATACAGTTATATGAACACTATGGGCGTTGATTAAAACAAATAAATGCTATGTGTTAGCAAAAATACAATAGCTTTAAGCATGCATGTTGTGTGCGACACCCACAGGCATGCACTTAAGTCCATAATGAGTGGGCCAGTAGGCTGGAAATACACTATCTATTCATTGTGAGTATTAGCAAAGCGCCTCGAGAGAAGAAAAACAAACACCTCTGCTTTCTGGCAGAGTAAGAGACAACAGCATACAAGTTCAAACACAACTCTCAGATGTCACTATGACTCACATAAATATATCAAAATACACAGCAGAGAGCACATAAAGACATGAACACACGAATTAGAGCAAACTGTGATAATGATGCTGATAATGAGAGACACAGCAGCAGCAAGTTTGTGCCTGTTCCTCTGCTGTGGTCTCCTGCTTTGGAGTACATGAAATTACCCTGAACCATACCACACAAATCCTAACAACAAGGCTTCACTATAACTTCACCTAACAACTTCATCTCATTTTCTCATCTCAATCAAGCCGATTCCGATGTTTGTGTTGGCTCTTCTTTGTAAGAATTATATATGTCAGCATATACAAACAAAAAAACACTTTTCTTGAAATTTTTAGAATAAAATGATTAAACTTCTCTTCTTTAAACAATTTGCTAAATCTTACCAAACAGAAACTGCTGCTACTGATTGATAAAAACAAATGTCGGCTACATTTTTGTTCAGTAGGTTTTTAAATTCATTAAATAAGGAACTCTTCTCCTTTCATAATTTTCCCAGGCAATGAATAATAATGACTGTTTTAAATGTGATATTAGGGATTTTCAAATTCATTTCATTTGATTACATTTTTCTATAAACAAGGACAATGAAAATAATGAACAAAAACAATATGACAACCATAAAACAACATTTTGAGACTTTTACACACAAAACAGTACCATGATCAGATCTCCCGCCCGCAGGTTAAGTGCAGTGGGATCATGGAGATTCCAGTAGTCCTTCACTGCTCTAACTTGAAGGGAGCTTGATGCTTCTGCAAAAAAAAAGAAGGAAGAAAGAAAAAGACACCTGATCACATTTCTAAACCAGAGAAGCCAAATTACCCAAATGTATCAGTGCAACATCAAGACACCGTTTCATGAGCTACCGACCTCTCAGCAGCTGTTTGATTTCCCTGCTGGCTGTGGAAGTGGTGAACTGATTGACAATGTCCAAAGCCGTCTGGTTGTAGGTGTTGCGCATGTTCACGTTGATGCCCGCCTAGACACACACACACATACAGATCGTAAAACGGCTACGTGGGAGTCGGACTTTTAAAAACAAACCCTCCCTTAAATTCCAATCTGCTTTATTAAAGAATAATACTGAGCAGGTGGAAACATAGTGTGATGTTTCCGTGAAGAGTCTTTATGTTGACACTTGTTGTAAAAAAGCAGCCTTCCACATGGCTCATAAGGCTAACAGATACAATGTTTCTCTTCTTTCCTTACGTCAAGGAGCAGCCGTACTACATCCGTTTTGCCATAGAGGGCAGCCTCGTGCAAAGACGTCCCCGCTTTGGTGGCTCTGTTAATGTCAATGCCAGCTTTGAGGAGCAACCTAGGAAGTCCAATCAGAAACACCGTGTTAGTGTGCAGGTGTGTGCAGACATCTGCAGCAATTTATGAAGTCATATAGTCACAGTCAGCAATTGCAAATTTAATTGGGTTGACGTCTGGACTTTAACTGGGTCATGGCAAAACCTCGATTCTTTTTTGTTTCTGTTTTTGTTTTCAGCTGTTCTGTGTGCTTAGGCCACACATCTTACTCCACCTACAGCATCTCAATTGGTTTGAGGTCTGAACTTTGACTCTAGAAAAATTTGGTATACAGAAGGCATGGGTTGGCATGACAACCCTTCCATACGAGTCCTTCTTGTTCAGTTTAACTGTACTATCAGGAACTTTAATATTTAGCATGCTAACTGAGGCCGGTAGTGTCTAAGAGTACATCTTTTGCAGTTTCTCTGACCATTGGGGAACCTTAGGGTAAATTTGCTCCCTCTCCTGGGAAGACTGTGGTATTTTTTTTGGTGACACCTCCTGATGATCAATTAAACAAGTGCATTTGAGTAGCAGCACCTGGCTGCTACTTATTCTCTTATCCTCACCATTACTGCTTAGCTTTTTGCAAGACTGAACACAGTCCTTTAAACTCAAAAAAGTTGCAACTTATGAGCAAAAAATGTTTGTAATTATTCTATCAAAAGTAGACATTTTTGGAATATGGAATAAAGGTGCAGCAACAAAATTATTTTATTTTTGATCTTTTTTTTAATCACATACTTTAAGAACATTCATGAAATGTTTTAATGAATAGAACCTTAAATAATTATCTAACAGCTTATTAAAAATAATTTAAAACATTTCCTTGTGAGTGTAGAGTTTTTAAACCAAATGCTGCAGATAGTACTGACAGGAGAAATACCAAGTTGTAATTTGTGAGGATAAAAGGTTCCTATTGTAATCTTCTTGCACCACTTTTAACCTTGATGGTATGAAATCTTGAGAGGGCTGAATGTCTGAAAACCTTCACAGAGTTTAGACTTTTCTGTCCTCCATAGAAATGTTATTCTCAGATACTCCATTTAATTTACACTGTACATGTTCACCAAGTACAGAATGTGCCAGAGCAAAGATTCTGAACATGAGGTGTCACGATCAGAAATGATCTCTGAATGAATTGCTAAAGCGTAGTTTCTAACACAGGCAGATGTATATGGTACTAAAACAACAGAAAGTTCCCATCTTTCCAGGCACAAAGTCATATCCTGTTTGCATAAAGCTCCTCCAGTTATTGCAAAAAGGGAGAAGTTACAAATACATTTGCAGCTTAGGTATGGCAGTCTTTGAAGTGCCATAAATCCCTTAGTATCATATTCCAAATTCTGCTGTGTAAATTCTGAATAAACTTATGTGGTTGTCAGTGAAGTGTAGGAGTGTGTGTGTGTGTGTGTTATTTTTCAGTTCATGTTTGTGTTGAGCATAGGCTTCTCTGCTACCAAGGATATCGCAGTATGACATTTTTGTATCATGCACAAACTTCCACCAGTATTATCACGGGCGGTATGATGTTGTACGGACTTATTACTAAGTATTCACTTTCAACTCCAGGAGAGGGGGAGATGGATGGTGTTGCATGAGATATTTAATAATTTAGACGGGATGGGAATAGTTGGCAGCATGTCTAAAACAGCGGGATGGGATTACATGGCAAAGACATTTTTAGGCTGAAACAGGCTGAAAGTACAAAGTCGATTGGGATTAAACCTCATAGTACAATGTTTTCTTTTTGGTGCTGGACAGATTGTTACAAAGTTACAGAATTAATTCAAATGGTAACAGTTCTTGTTCAGTCTTGACACATGCTCGAACATCCACGTAAAGAAATCCCAGAAAGTTGATTCTGTTCATTTGGACATAGCGCTTTCAGTGGGAGAAGCGTTTTGTGACTCATCTGAGCCAGCACCATTGCTTAACAACGGGCCGTGAGGTCAGTTTCATGATTGTTAATATCCAAAATGTCATGACCACTGATCACTGGCTATGAGTACCATTCACAGAGAGGATATGACTGCAATAACAGCATTTTAAGCGATAAGAGGGTTGCTTCCCTACCCTTCAGGTCAGAGAATGTCAGCGCAACTCCACTGGGAGACTTTACCGCTCACGTGGAGGCCAGTGAAATCTGGAGGGGCGTGACTGGCAGGACTGGTCAGTCTAATCTGAACTCAAGTGGTGTTCTGTTATTGGACTTCTGTGTTAAGTTTACCCATTACAGTTTGCCTACAATAAACACCATGTTAAAGCAGCAGCATTTATAAGGTGAAGGTCATCTTGCATCCTTTTTTTTTAATGATGCCAGCAGCAGCAGAATTATAGTACAATAGTAGTGACAGTAGTTTTATTATTTCCTTTAGGGGACCTCCCCAAGGGATTAATAAAGTTCTATTCTTTTGCACAGCATAAGTGCAAAAGTAGTTTAGGCAGTTTTTGATTATCCAAAGTGAGGTCTTGGGGCAGTAGCAGAAGCGGGGGAAGACTTCCCTCAACCCAGCCAGCTCCTCCAGTTTATCTGGGGAAATGTCGGTGCATTCTCAAGCCAGCTGAGAGATATAATCTCTCCAGCGTGTGCTAGGTCTGCCCCGCGTCCTCCTTCCAGTAGGACAATCCTGGCTGGAACACCTTACCCAGGAGGCAAACAGCTGCCTCCTTCAATGTGGAGGAGTAGCAGGTCTACTCTGAGCCCTTCCTGATGACTGATTGGCTCACCCTGTGTTGAGGAAGAGTCCATCCACCCTTCGGAAAAAGTATTTCTGCCACTTGTATCTGCAGTCTTATTCTTGGCCTTTTAAAGAACTAACAATAAAGGAGTTAACAAAAAAAAGAGACAGAGATCAACACATTTATGGCCTTTCTCTACAATGATGCTCCAGCAGAAAACTGCTCCATCAGAATTGGGCATCAATTAAAATGTGAAACAATTAGATTAAATGACTAGTGTGCCTGGTACTGACTAGTGACAATATTGACAATTAGTCATCTAGTCGCCTAATAAAATATTTTCTACTTGGGCTCAAGCTTTTAAACCAGCTGTGTAGCTGCATCGGTAATTCCCATCCCCTGTTTGCACTTCCTGTCATGTGGAGTGCAGCTAGTTGTTGTTCTAGTGACATTCGTTGGAATGATTCAGGGCGCGAATCTCCTGTAGCGTACTTAATGGTGTGTTTTTGCCTGCAGTGGGCCTGCTTTCTATTTCCCATGACTGTAAATACTAGTTCTTTAACTAGTGGGCATAAGTATCAGTTCAACAACAACTTTGTAGCTAAACTATTCGTGCATACTATACGTATTTTATATTCCTTTGAAAATTAAGAGTTCATTTTTTCAATTTTAAGGTCTGAACTACAACAGTGTGCAAATGCTGGCTGTGAACGCAGATGCTCAGACTGTCAATCAAAGGAAAAGCAATGCCTGGATATTGAATCCAGAATCCACTGTGTTACATGATACTGTATCATAATGTTTAACATTTAATGCCACTCTGAGCTGCTGTTTACTTGATGATGTCTTTGTGTCCATTCCTGGCTGCTAGGTGGAGTGGGGTGGTGGAGGGAGAGTCCAGGCTGCCGTTTCCTCTTTCTCCTTCTAACAGGGCTGCAACCATATTACTGCTCAGCAGTAACTGAGTCACCTAACAAAAAAATTGAGATGAAATGGCAGAATCAGGACAGGAATTACAGCCTTAGTAACACACACACACATATATATATATATATGTATATATGCTAAAAATATATATTGACGTATTAGAGTGTAAATGGTGACTTATATATAGGGTTAAACGAGCACAGAGGCTTATCCACTACTCAGCAGTCGTCTAAAGATACCACAGCCTCTGCATACACCCACAAATACTGTGTGACAAAAAACAGCCCAAAGCTTACGATTTTCTTTCATAGCCAAACTGCAAACTCAGAGCAGACGAGCGAACGTTTAACAAGCATGGGAAGTGTGCGTCTGTCTAATTCTTAATAACAGAGCCAGCTATACATCTCACAGCTGGGCTTATCCACTGATGTGGCAGAGGCACTGCAATATGCAATCTCTTCACAAAGTCTAAAAGGAGCTACTGAAGCCTCTTCTGCTTTCACAAAAAGGAGCTCGATTTAGCTCAGCCTTGTTGTCTCAGCAAAGGTTTGTGTTTGCCTTAGGCCATTCACATTAAAATAAAAAAAAAGCATGAAAAACACGTGTTCTCATATGCAAACAACTGGATTGCACATATGAAGAAAACCTATATACATCTCACTAAAGGGCTAACTTTAGTACTCTTTTTGTTTAAAAAATAACCCCGGGGTTCCTGTGACCTTTGTAAAACATCAATAAATAAACTGTTTCCATCAAGTTTCTTCCACTTATCCAATTCAGGGTTGCAGAGGGGGTGGGGCCTATACTAGGCGTCATAATGTGAGAGGCGGGGTACAACTCGAGCACCTTCTAGCCTGTCACTATAACACAGAGACCACCATTCAGCTGATTCATTCGAAACCAGGACCTTCTTGCTGTGAGGCGACACTGCTGACCATCGCACCGCTGTTCCACCCTCATTCAGTTAGATTAAACTCAATTAAAAGGTCAACATTAAAAGAAATTACATATATTATTTGGACTATGATGGTACACGACATTAAAGTGAAACTAACTGAACTGGAACTAAACAGACTCTTGGAGCTGAAGGCTGTTCATGGTTACTGAACATTACTCCCGCTGCCTCTCTCGTTGTCTCTCCTATTTGTACTTTCATTTTTTCTCTTTACATCAGTTAACAGGTAGTGTAACGTAAGTGCTTGGGCCTCTACTGTGAAGTTGCTAATGGAGCAGTCATAGACTGCATATGAAAGATGGGCTTAACTTATGGCTCAGAAAACTGGGGCATTTCAAACTTCAGTTCCTTCTAACAGCCACTAAGGGTCATCTGTAGGTTTCATGAATAACTTCAGGTGCATGGAGCTTCTCACCACCTTCGATCTTTCGAATGAGTTTAAGGTCTCGAGGTCTTACTAAATGAAACATGTCCACATTATGGTCCACATTAGAGCGCAGAGAAGTGCACAAAAAGCATAGACATGTCTACTTTGTAAATAATAGTTCAATACCATATAAACAGGCAACAGACCTCGATTTTAACGTCAGATCTACCGGCACTGTGGTTTTAATAAGCTAGCGTGCTGGGGAGAAAGCGATCGGTGAAGTCACAGTGTCTACATCCATCTGTCACCTGAGCAAGTGACATTACTGTAATAACTATGGATATAGAAAATGACCCACATTATATAGAAAATAACCCACATCATGGGGCGATCGTGGCTCAAGAGTTGGGAGTTCGCCTTGTAATCGGAAGGTTGCCGGTTCGAGCCCCGGCTTGGACAGTCTCGGTCTTTGAGACACTTCACCCGTTGCCTACTGGTGGTGGTCAGAGGGCCCGGTGGCGCCAGTATCCGGCAGCCTCGCCTCTGTCAGTGCGCCCCAGGGTGGCTGTGGCTACAATGTAGCTGCCATCACCAGTGTGTGAATGGGTGGATGACTGGATGTGTAAAGTGCTTTCGGGTTCTTAGGGACTAATAAAGCGCTATACATTGATTTTTAACTTTTTTTTGCCAGCTGTAAAAACGACTGAACATTTAACAACTACAGTATTTCTCTTAAAAAACGTTCATTTTCAAACTTTGAGACTTTTTCAGGCTTTTTTTGACCTGCAGCAACCCTGTGCTGAGTACATATCATGATCTCAGAAATTATTTTATTACTTAAAATAAAGTAATGGATAATTTTCATTTTGAGCAGATGTGTGAACTTTTCATGTGATGTCATAATCAGTTTTAATCCAGGGAATATTTTGGTTTATAAGCAAATACCTGCAGAAAAAACAACCTCATTCTTATTTTGGAAAAGAAGACATCAAAGATATGGAACTTCCACAAAAATCTTTTCATACCTTCAGTCTGCCAAACTCACAGGCCAAATCTAGTGGTGTCTTCTTAGCCTTGTTCATGAAGCAGGGATTAGACTGATGCTGCAGCAACATCTCAGACTGAGAGCCAAGAAGAGGGAGAGAATGTAAAATTAGTGCAATCAACTAATATATTACGCACTCGTGGCCCAACTCGTGGCTCAAGAGTTGGGTGTTTGTCTTGTAATCGGAAGGTTGCCGGTTTGAGCCCCGGCTCGGACAGTCTCGGTTGTTGTGTCTTTGGGCGAGACACTTCACCTACTGGTAATGGACAGAGGGGCCGATGGCGCGATATGGCAGCCTCGCTTCTGTCAGTCTGCCCCAGGGCAGCTGTGGCTACAACTGTAGCCTCCACCAGTGTGTGAATGTGAGAGTGAATGAATAGTGGTATTGTAAAGCGCTTTGAGGGTCCCGAAAAGCGCTATATAAATGCAGTCCATTATTATTTTTACTTGCTTTCACATGTCAGTCTTCCCAACATGTTCATTAATGTGTGTGTGTGTGTGTGTGTGTTTGTCTGAACGAACATAAAACAGGTCGGGTGCAGCCTCGGTGTTCTCAAGAGGTCAGGCATGGGTAGGGGTTGTATGACGTAACAAGTTCTGTATGTGCACGGTATACGCAACTGTCATTTCAAACATTCCAGCAAGCACGTAGAAAGGAATATTCGTCGTTACTGCCTGCAGGCTCTTTAATGGTATGCATTAATGGTATTACTGCTATTGTTGCTGGACAATACCAGCTGAGGCACAAAGGGGATCGATTTCAGTGAAATGGGAGGACAGGTAAAACCTTGGAACTTTGCCTTTAGCCTCTGGTGTTTGTCTGCTTACTCACCACCTCATAGTGTCCGTACTGTGCAGAGAGATGCAACGGTATCTGTCCATCATTGGAAGGGGAGTTGACTGCAGCGCCGGCTCTCAGCAACAATAGAACAGAGTCAGCTTTACCCTGCCACGCTGCGTAGTGGAGGGGACGCATGCCTAAATGTGGAAATGAGAAAGGTAAGAAGAGGTTAGGAGGTAAGAATAAAAAAGCAATCGTTTTAAAATGTTATTAGATACAGGGACTGCTACTTAGGCATGACCTCTTAAAATGAAAAATTATTTTATTTCATAATAACTATCAGTAATACACATATACTAAGGCTGTCACTGTTATTTTTGTAGGCTCGCGCACCACCTCCCTCCACTTGAATTATCATCCAGATCATTATGCAATCATATCTTTTGACAAACTAAGGCATACATTTAATTGGAATATGCTTTTTATTGTAACTGTTCCTCACAAACACTTATTGAAATAATGATGATGATAAGAAAGTGGATTTACATTCTGTTTACTGGAGGAGTCGACATTAGAGGTTAAACACATGGAAAGAAGATCTGAAAAGTGAATTCTCAGCTAAAGGTTGGAAATTAGTCAGTGCTGCAGTTCATACTCAGATGTGGTTAATGTGTTAAAGTTAACTTCTAATGACAATATAACAGTAGTAAGTGTACAGAGGCTGGAGCAACAGTTTTTGTTTCACAGTACAGAAAGACTAAAGCTTTTTCATATTTGAGAAGATATTTTCATGTCCCATAAGATCCAGCACTATCTGTAATTAATGATTTGGTAGTATTATGCCATGTTGAATAAGGAGAGCAGTTTTATTGTTTGTTTGTCTTTCACTTCCTGTTGTTTTCTGGTTAGGTGAATTTGTTTGATTTTGTTTGTTTGTCTGATTAGGATATAGAGCTATTCTGTTTCCATGCACTGGCTGTCAATAATGCTTAAAAAAATCAGCAAATTCTATGTCCATAGGGAGCCCAAAGGAGGGTTGACGCCCCCTGCTGAGGCCAGTGGATACAACAAAACTGAAAAGCTGGCAGGACATGCTTCAAGAGCTCTACACACCTCTGGTTTCAGGAGCCAAGCTGCCAAATTCAACTGTATGTGTTCCACTTGGAGTCTGAGGATATCTACATTAGCACTGCAGCCACTTCAAAGTGAATCATATTTATTCATATGGGTCAAATTTATTTTCAGCTGAGAGTGTCAGAAAACTTGTGAAGAGGTTTCATGCTCAATTTAACCTCAACTGACTTCTTCATCATGAACATTTGGGATTTTTTTCCCCCCTAAATTGTGGGTTTGCGTGGTGACACTGGGTTAACCGGCAAAGCTGTTCTGCCATCATGATACCGTTTATGTCCTTGATATCCACCGTGGCCTGGGCCTCCAGCAGCAGAGACAGCAGCTCGATGGTTCCCGTTAGAGCTGCATGATGCAGGGCTGAGAAGCTGCGAGAGGAGATAAAGGAAAAACACGGAGACAAGACAGATCAAGAGTAGGGACAGGTGAGGGCATGAGAGAGTTAGAAATCATCCTGTTGCCTTTACAGTGAGACCTTTTGCAAAAAAAACAGTAAACTGATGTGTATGTGTGTGGTCACATCAAACCTGATCTAATTCTGATAAAGTGGGTGTGACGGTTTATGTGTGTGTATAATTTGAAAATGTGTGAGTGTGTTTGTTCATCACAGCTTCAGAGATAAAATCTAAGTGTTTGTCTCTGGGTGTCTGTCAGGTCACGATATAGATGACTAAGGGAGAAATTAAAGACATAAATTCTTTGGTGATGAGTTTTGCTTTTTCTGGGGGGACAGAAACACAGTGAACACTCCACAGTTGAAGCTGTGACACACTCGTCTGACATGGGGATTAAATATCTGCTTCATTCATGCTTTCAGGTGATTTGTCACAGCCTGATGGAGTCATTGCGAGACAAAACGTACGTAGTCACAACAGATAATTTTTTACCGATACCTCACATTAAGCAACAGGTTCATGCAGATCTGACACACAGCTTCCTGGCACACAAAGTGACCCACAGACTTTCATGTCAAAAGGTTGAACTTTACATCATTAAAAGGCAGAAAATGTCCAGGTTTCAAAACGTTCAGTTCAGAACAAATAGATGACCTATGTCCCATCTTCTATCCAAGATGTGTATTTAGAAACATCGATGTAAACTATTATTATAAACTATAATATATACATTCCTTTGATCCAGAGTTATTAGGTACAGTTAGCTTTAAAGAGGCCAGGTACACCAAAAAAAGAAAACAAGACGAAACTTGAGTTGTAAGGTCTTTTAGAGTTTAGACCAGACCCGAAGCTCCGACTGTATCTGCAGACTGTGAGATGGCGTATCTTATCACTCACATTATTCAGATGTCTCCTCAGCACACATATACAACCATTTATTCTTTCACATTCCTGTCTACTCATCTTGAGTCATCAGTTACGGTGACTTTCTACAAACACGTCTGAAAATGTCCTCCTGGGATAATTTTGACTTGGTGACAGCAGACGATTTGTTCACCTTCTGCACTCGTCTTGTCGCAGTCGTGCATGTTTGATTTCAGCACCCCTATTGTATGTCGCCTCCCACACACTGCACTGACCTTGCATGTAGACACACGCAGCGGGTCTAAGTCAACACAGAATCACATCACACGTAGACTGAGACTCAAACTGCAGTCTGGAAAGGGAGATTCTTTGCGTGTTTTAAGGCCTACTGAAATAAAACTACAAAAGTACATCTGAAACAGTAAACGTCTTATATAAAATGTGCATTCTTGAAGCATATCTACACAGGATGAACAGAAGAGCCAAACTGAATCAAAAGCGGTTACTTTATACCAAAAAATCTAAATAATAAAAGAGTACAATACTGACTCACAGCTGCCCTAATGGGAGCAGTTTATTTGTCTGCAAATGTATTCAAACAAGACTAAAACATACTGTATGTAACCAACCAACACTGGCTGATCACAGAAGTATGACCAGGCAACACGTGGACACAGTGGAGCACGGACATCATTTCATATTTTCATATTCTTTTTGCTTAAAGATGACATAAAAATAGGCCTTAAAAATATCTACACAGTGCAGTCAGGACAGTGGTGCAACAATGGCACCGCGTCTTCCAGCTCCATGAAAGCCAATTCTGAATGCTACATCATAAGAAGTTAGGCTAATGTTGGCACCATTGTCCTATCTATACTATTTGGAACACGGCTCATCAACTAGCAAAGATGCTTTATTTCTCTGCCTTCATAACTTCCTGCTGCCTCAGCCACACTAAAGGAAAAAAAGCTGGTAACCATCATGGGACCATGAAAAGTGATTGCATTTAAGTTTGGCTGTCTGGGATCACCTGTAACTAGTTACAACGATTAACTGGTCAGAGAGCATGCAGCACCCTCAACCCCTGGGACAGCAGTTTAGGTCACAAGGTGACTGCAAAGGTAACCTGTCTCCAAACTATCTGGGTTGGACAGCTTGCCAACACACTGCGATCAGTCACTGTGCCAAGGAGCAACTCGTCTGCTCCATCATTTATTTCTCCAAGTCGAGACACAATGAGTTACTAATGTTTGTGGCATTCAATTTTGTATAAATTACACTAAGTTTAACACAGAAAAGCACTCAGAAAACCTTATTGTGCATCTCATATGTGAGTAGATGCCGCTAAGTGTTTGTTAAAATTCAAGGGGAGATCAAATGTATCAAAACAAATGCATAATCCGCTGGATGGCTCAAATCTGTAAGTGCATTGCCAAAAGTTTTGGTTCTGTCTCTTACTCTTTACTCAACTCTCAATTCTCACTCAGAGTGTTTTGAGCCGAACTCCACATATTCCTTCTCTGTAATAATACTTAAAATGAAGATAAGATTTTTCATTGAAACAGAGCAGAACTGAGCTAAACAGAGCAAGTTGAAGAAGAGAGGAGGCAAATCCCAAAACACACACACACAATGATATAGTACACCTTGTTTTCCTTTCTTTTCCAGTGTTTTAGCCTTTTAGTTTCATTTATACACAGAGATCAGCACACAATGAAAGCACCTTTGTGTGTCTTTTCTCAGCAGTGCACACACACAAAGCAACATTCACATTTCTTTCCCTTCCCTTCCTCAATAGGTGCTAGTGCATAACAAATATCTCTTGCTGGAATAATGTCTGAATGTTAAATTAAAGATTAGCCAAATCAATATGGGCAATATTCCCTGTCCTATTCTTTCCTGTTCAGACACTCAACAGTAAATGCAACAAGACAAACGGTTTAATATATAGAATCATCCCTATAGTACTGTTTAGTGAGTTGTGCCACTTAACTTCAATAATTAACACCGACAGGTGTCCAACTTGGTAGATGACACAGGACGCAAACTAACATGTCACCCTATGTACTCTATATGTCCCTCTATAACATGTCACTCT